CTTTTTTAGCAAGTTAGGATTGGGTGAAGAGTGAGCTGGAAGTTAGGGAACAGAAAAGCAGAAAACAGAAGAATAGAAGAAGGATTAGAGGGAAAGTAAAAGTGAGAAAAAGAGAGTTGGGTTCATAATATTCTCATGCCTTTTACAGCTTAGTCATACGGCTTTTACATAGTAATATCCTAGAACTATGATTGGATAGGAATAACCAACTTTGCAGACCTGGTACACTATAGCTGGCACCTGGTACGGGTTGGTGCAGTGCTAACGGCTAAGCTACAGAAATTTAAAAAGGAACGAAAATAACAGCAAAAGAACAGCTAAAAAAACGAGTGGCTAAAAATCCCTACATTTATTCGTGCCATTTTGTTTCCTAACAAATAGTGGAGAAAAAATCCCCTAAAAGCTGAGAAGAAGGATAAAACAAATGAAATCAACCTGTGAATGTAATTGTGCTTGTGGATAGACTCAATTGCAAGGACTGTCTGCGCAACATAAAATCGAGCCTCATCCTCAGTCAATGTATCCTTGCGCATAAGTAATGTCATCATATCACCTCCTGGGAGATATTCCATTATAAGATACAAATATTCATCATCTTGGAAGGAGCAGTACAGTTTGACAATGCAAGCACTGTCAACTTCAGCAAGGAGGTTCCGTTCAGCCTTAACATGTTCTACCTGAGAGAGAGAGAGAGAGAGAGAGAGAGCATTCAAATAAGCAGAAAGTAAAATGGACCAAAAAAGTTGTTCAGGAAGATTATCCACGTATCACAGCATGCAAAATTTTCCAAAAAATTCCCGTTACCACTTTTATTTCAACGTTAACATTCTTCTTGCACCAAGCTTTGTCTTGTCTAAGCATATTTTACAAATAATTCTAACTTCCAAATGAGCTTACAACTAAACTAGGACCTGTTATCAATCCTAAAGTTCTACCAGGGAGGCTTGGGTTACTCATAAATTGGATAGACTTCATGTTATTGCTGAAGCCAATCAGAAAGTGTAAGGGAAGAGACATGGAGGAAAAAAAGCATTAAGTTCTAAATTTTACCTGCCCTCTGCGAAGCATCTCAGATTTCTTTAACTTTTTCATGGCATACACCTGGCCAGAAGCCTTTTCTCTGCAAAGTCTCACCTAATATAGAAATTATAGGTGTCACTATTATCATATGAAATTTACAAATAAAAAAAGGGTCAACATTCACCTCAATTATTATAAAGAAATAAGAAAAGGGAAAGAAGACAATTAGATTATTTCCATGTGACAGATGTGGAAAGGTCAAAACAACATGGACGGAATCACCAAGCATAAACTATTAAACTTACAATCATTTAGTTTACAAAAAGGACTTCACAGAATGATTGACAAATGAAATGAATATCATATACTTCAATGGTACCTTCCTCATGTATATATACCTCGATCCATCAATGTGTACAGCAATTAAATCAAAATAAACAGGGTTTTGACGTACATCTAAATTAGACGGGCAATCTAGAACCAGGTTGCAAATAACTTTTATCCAACAAGCAAGTTTCAGAAACAAATTAACAACTTTGTCCGCTACATATGCATGTCGAAAGGGGCAAGTAATTGCCCAAATGCAAAGGCTGCTACTATGAAATAATAGCAGTGAAATTCAA